GGTGGGTATGCTGTGCGATATAATGGAGACGTTGGCAGTCAGGGTCACAGGAAAGGGTCCCTCAGTATGACTAGGGAAGCCTGATGGATCTCTTGGACTCAAAAGAAAACCTAATTAACTCAAACAATTTCACTTGTAAATGTTTAGTTCAGTCCATCCCTTTATTCTTAAGGGTTATTCTTTAGAACTGATTAGGGATGTCAGTGTTTAGATGACTATACAATTAAGTGGTAAGTCTGAGTGGGAGCTGGTGCCCATGGACTGGCTCTCGCCTGTGACCCCACACTGCTGCCCTTGATAGAGAGGCAGCAGTGTGGGGTGGCAGGGAGCTCCCTGGGTGTGGGGACAGAGTGCACTGGCTTCCACTCCTACCCCGGGGACTATTGAATAGTCGTGTAACCATTAAAATTTCACTATTCAATTACATGCTACAGCCTCTCTCCCAGTTACGAACGAGTTACGGACCAAATACTTGGCCATAACTCGATCCGTTCATAACTCGGACCCCATTGAGTTACACGTGACCGCGCTGTTCATAAGCGTGGGTCGTGTTCGTAACTCAGGGACCGCCTTTACGACTACTCAATGGGAGCTTTGGTCGTAAGTGCGAACGGTCGTAAGTCGACTGTTCGCAACTCGGGGAGCGGCTGTATCTAACTTCTGTAGCACTGACAAGATATGAATATTTTAATGTCAAAACCAAGCATCTGTATTAACTTTACGAGTTTTCCACAACATAAATTCTGTAACTCTTGACATCCTCTCCTTTAGCAGACTTCAGATAACTCCAGGTGCTGTTTAAGCTTGACTGCAAACTATTATCTAACAAATGCTGGCAAAAGTTCCTTCAATCCATTTGAATGTTTCTGCTGCCTTTTAAATTAGTTATGTTTCCTCTATGGAAAAATATTGCTGCATGAGAGTTTATTTTTACATCTTTATTATTTGGGACAGAAAAATTACTATAGACCCAGAAAAATGTCTCCATGTAAAATAAATCATATAATCAATGTGCACTCTTTTCTTTTGATGGAACATCTGAACACCATTCCAATCAAATACAATATGCTGCAGCCAAAGTAAGTAGACAATAAGAAGATGATGAGCCTGTCAAAACAGTGATCAAATGATCATATACAGTGGGGAGACTTTCAACCTTTTCATTTTAGAAATGCATTAGTCATTTATATGTCCCTCTTTCTCGAGTATTCAACTGATGGAATTTTCTTCTCCTTCTCTGTCTGCAGATTTTCTTTCTCACTATCCTAATTTTAAAAATAATTCTATTAAAAAATAGTAATTGCTATCTGGTTTCGTAAACAGTCAACATTTATACCATTATCCTTCAGTCAGCTCTATGAAGACAGACACTTGTGTCCATGCCAACTGCACTGCCAGAGTGGGGCTCTGCCAGGTTGCTAGCATCCACCAGAGCAGGCCCATCTTCTGTTGTCTATTCTAATTGCTGAAATCCAATTGTATTGCTTCCCTTTAGAGCTCTCCTTGCATCTCATGTGTGCACATTCATTTTGAGGCTGCCAGGTTGAATCACTTGTTCTCATTACAAACCACATTCTGATCTGCAGGAACCTGAACCAGGCTGTGTAAAAGGGAAAAGGTGTTATTGATTTTCTGAGGATGCTGTTGAATGATCAGAATAGTTCCCCTTGCCTTAAGGTCCCAGAGTTTCCCCTGGTGCAGTACTTGCCACTTACACTTTGTGTGAGATTTCAGCTAAACTTTGCATCTGTCTTACCAAAAGACGTCTGCATCACATCTCATTGTGTAAATTTAGTATGGTGTGTGACAAAGCTTGTACTCAAACTTGGTGGCTACTGCACTTTCAGGCGGATTGCTTGCCTTAGAGGCTCACGGCAGCCCTTTAGGCACCACAACCAGGACATCAGCCTGCTGTTAGTTGACCTACTCTCATCATTGGCCAGCATGAGGTACAGAGGGAAACCAAACTCCAGGGTCTTGGTGAAACCCCCCTCTCCCCATAGCACAGTGCTGGGTAAACCCCTTTCTTTTCCCCAGACAGTCTTTTCCCCAAGTGGAAATGGGGAAGTAGGTGATAGAGAGAACACGGGCCCACCCTCTATTCCAGGTTCCATTCCAGGTCCCCGTAAAAGCAGCTGCCTATAAATGTCTCCAACAGCAGCTGTGAGACAGCCACAAAACCCTGGGCTACTTCCCCACACCTTCCCCAGCACCACTTTTATCACAGGTTCTTTCTTCTAGTACCTGCTTGTGCTTGCAACTTCTAGATTCTCAATAGCTCCTTCTGTCTTCTCAGCTCCCCACACGCTAACTAACTGCAGACAAGCTCTTTTTAACCAGTCTCAACTGGTTCTTTAATTGGCCCCAGGTGTTCCAGCTAGCCTTAGTTGACTTGACTTTAGAAGCCCACTTAATTAGCTTGAGGTGCTTAATTTCCCTTATTGATTTTGGCAAGCTTCTGCTGGTTCTGAACTATCCCATGCCAGTTTACCCTGGGAACAATGATTTACTCAATCTAAAGCTAATATAACCCCTTCTGTCACTCTCTTGTACCCCTCAGGCCTGACCCTGTCACAGGTGAGAATACAAATCAAAGTCGCAATAGCTGTTAAAACTGTGTGTTATGGATTTGCGAACAAACCACTAACTTTCTCAGAGTTTCATTTTTATTAAACGTACTTTTAGAATCCTTTCATCGAATCTCAGAGCGAGACCACCTTGTGTCTAGATCAGCATGCATGTGGGCAATACAGTTTTTGATCACCATGGTCTCATTTCTATTTTCTGGCCTCAAACTATCCAAACTGTGTATCAGTTGACGGTCCTGCCACTCTAATGCTCCCTGTAATTTCCCTGGTTTATTTGTTTGTTTTTGGCATCAATCCTGACTTTCTTACTTTATTTTTTTCCTCATAGCCCAAAGAGCCTGTGTTACTTTGTTGGTTCTTCCGTGGCTAAAGACCATAGAATGGAACACTCTGCCTTAAACATGCCAGATGTGTCGCTGCCGAGTTAATGGCCTTCAGGGTGACACTTGGTGCTTTCTTCCACTACCCCAGTCCTCTCTCAGGGAAGGACCATGCTGCCTGTCCCCATGAGCCCAAGAAGGAGGAAGTGGGAGAAGTGCACCTGTTTCTGTCAAGGTAGAAACTGTTCCCCGGACTAAATTCCTGGTAATTCAGTGTTTGGGACTCTGCCTGGCTGGCCTGATGGCTAGTGTTCTGCATTATTATTATTATTGTGGAAAATCTGAATAGTTCATGACTTATATATAATGTACTTTGAGAGGGAATCATAATGGAAAGGGGAGAAGTTAGTATTTGAGTGCTGCATGTGATCTTTCCAGATTTCCTGCACATTCAAGAGTCAGACTGGTTGAGTTCTTTCAGTGTAAGATGCCTGGGCATACATGATTGTTATCCAGTTGCTAGATACATGCCAGTTGGTTACTAGCACAATTTGCATCCACAGGTCAAACAATACATTTTTGATAAACTTAAAAAACAATAAATAGCCTGGTAGCACTTTATAGACTAACAAAACATGTAGATGATATCATGAGCTTTCGTGGGCACAGCCTGCTTCTTCAGAGGAGCGGAGTTTTGAGTTTAGGATGTGCAGACCAAAAATAAATAGGGGAGAAGGGGAGGGGGGAAAAAGGAGGGGAGTGGGAAACAAGGAGCAGAGGGTATGGAAATATCAAAGGGAAAAACAGGAAGGCAGAACTGGGAGTCAGTAAGCACCTGAAGATTGGATAGTTAAAATGAAGCAAATAAGAATCAAAGGCAATAACAGGCATCTACACAAAGAGCTTGTTTGCACCTTCATTGAATGTTAGGTTGATAGTGTCCCAACCATCCATTATCACGATTGAGTAGGCTATCAGAATGAGAATTGAATTTGTAAATGAATTGTAATTCCAATGCCTGTGTATTTAGCTAGTAGAATTTGTTTGTGACCAGACAGCCACTTGAAGATCTTTTAAAGAGTGATTAGGTAGATTGAAGTGTTCCCCAGCAGGTTTCTGTACGGTCCCTTTACGGATATCTGATTTGCGTTCATTGATTCTTTCCGGTGGGGACTATCCAGTTTGTCCAATATATATAGCAGTGGGGCTTTGATGGCATAGATCAAATTACTGGATGTGTAGTTAAATGACCTTTTGATTTGGTAGCTTATGTTGTTGGCTCCAGCGATGAATTCGCTTGTATAGATACGTGGGCAGAATTGATACATATCGTTCGCTGGTTGCAGGGCATTTTTGTTCTCCAAAACATTAGCCCACTTGGGCCTGGGCATTTCCCCTTTGTTTCTGGCAGTAAAATGGCCTCTGATGCTGGAACACAAACTAGGGGCATGTCTACTGTGCACTGCAGTTTGGACTAAGGGGATGTGAATAACAGTGTGCATCCAAGTGCTGCGCTGTAGCTCCCCCATTTTGCACTGTGGAAGCAAACTAAGTTCCTAGCTTGTTTTAGCTTTTCCCAGTGACACGCAGAATCGAAAAGGGAGCGAGACATTGCAGCTCTTCAGTGCATGCTGGTATTCATACTTGTAGTTTGAACTGCAGGGCAACATAGACCTGCTCCATCTAAATCAATTATGACATTGCCACAGACCAGAGAACAGCTTGTGTTGATTTATTTTGCTCCCCACATTGTCCAAAATGATTCCTGGATTTGTACTGGCATAACAGAGATCAGAATCTGTCCCTGCATAAGAAAATCAATGGCTATGATCTGACCTAATTTGGGACATGGACAAAACCACACTTCAGTGGTTCTGATGTTATTTCAATTACTGATGTGACTTTGCTGACTTCAGTGGAGTTATTTAAAATGAATGGCAGAACCTGGAATAGTATCTGTTTCCTAAGGGTACTGTCTGAGGTCTGGCAGTACTGAGATTCCTGCATAACTACCAGTATGTTCAGGTTTCCAGTTACAATCCAACCTCATCCATCCTGCTTTGCAACTTATTAACACTGTTTTTCCATGTAGGCTGCTCCAAAGTGACGTGCATTAGTTTGACCCGTGAAGCCTCCATCAAACTGTCCCCATTACATGGCAAACAGATCTCTATCCGCTATCTGGACATGACAGACTGCTTTGTGCTTGAGGATGAAGGCCTGCACACCATAGCTGCGCACTGCACTCAGTTGACTCATCTGTACCTGCGCCGCTGCGTCCGCATTACCGATGAAGGCCTCCGTTACCTAATGATTTACTGCACATCCATCAAGGAGCTGAGTGTGAGCGACTGCCGCTTTGTTAGCGACTTTGGCATGCGGGAGATTGCCAAGCTGGAGTCACGCCTGAGATACCTCAGCATCGCACACTGTGGACGCATCACAGATGTGGGCATCCGCTACATTGCCAAATACTGCAGCAAGCTGCGCTACCTCAATGCGCGGGGCTGCGAGGGCATCACAGACCACGGTGTGGAGTACCTCGCCAAAAATTGCACAAAACTCAAATCGCTAGATATTGGCAAGTGCCCACTGGTATCAGACGCTGGTCTGGAGTTCCTGGCCCTGAACTGCTTCAACTTGAAGCGCCTGAGTCTGAAGTCATGTGAGAGCATCACAGGCCAAGGCCTACAGATCGTAGCTGCAAACTGCTTTGACCTGCAGATGCTGAATGTGCAGGACTGTGAGGTTTCTGTGGACGCTCTGCGTTTTGTTAAACGCCATTGCAAACGCTGTATTATTGAGCACACCAACCCTGCTTTTTACTGAAAGGACACCCTGCACCTGTTGATTAAAAAACCATTAAAATATTGATATATAAACACATGCTCGCACATACAGTACCCATCTCTTCTCTCTATGGATCATGGGAGTCAGCTTTCTTGTATGGTGCTGATGAGGTCTGTTTTTTAAAAAGAATATATTTTTTGTTTTAAATGATCACTTTTTTGTTTGATTTGGTCTCTGTGGAGATGCTTCCTTAACCCAAAAACAGTAAGTACTCTGCAGCACCATTGCAGAGCTTTTGCCATGGTGATCCTGACCATTTCCAGGCACAGACATGATTTGTCTCGAAATCTTTCCTCCAACACGGGTGATGCAACACCATCTTGTCTAAGTAGCATCTTCTTGGAAGTTTCTTAACCACATTCCCACAATCCCCAAGGAAATATTGGGTAGGATTTACAAATATGTTCAATGTTGGTCTAGCTCTACTTCCATTGACTTAAAGTAGGTAAAGTTAATGTGAGTTGAGTTAGCTAACGCCAAGCTCATTTGAAAATCCTACCTCTAGGAATACCTCTTCAGCAGCCTGGATGTAGTTCACTAATATGCTAACCTACTACCCCCATTGCACAGGTTGGAAGCATCCTCAGCTAGTAGATGTATTGGGGACCATGGGACCTCTGGGTCCATTTAGTAGTGTCACTAGCATTTGAGAGGAAGGAATATTTTTATGAATTGTAGAAAGCAGCAGATGCTCCTTTACAGGTCACTAAAAGGAAAAATTAACATTTTACAAATTGTTCTGAGAAATCATATTTTGTTACTACTATAAATTAAGATGCTGCAGCAGCACTCCAGGGATTCGTCAAATGTCTCCGAGTGGGTCATACCAGGGCAAACCGTTGAAAGTCCCAGTAGTTGTTCTGTCTCAGAGTAACTCTTGTTGTTGCCATCAAGCCTGTTTTAATTCCTTTATAGGTGCAAGGAGCCATTGCAACAAACTCTTTTTAGGTAAGGAATTTGTAGGCATTATACACACAAGCACACACATTTCCTAGGGCCTTTCCAATTTAAAGGCTGGATAGTAGATTTCAAGAGTTGAAACTCATTAGCCTGATATCAGATCACATCTCTGAGAGAGGGGCATTTGGAATTGTATCCATATTAGAATTGGTTTCTGTGCAGCCATGACAGCTATGTTCCTTTCAACTGAAGACATGGCTGTTGCTGGGCAAAGAATCGCACTACACTTGAACCTTTTTCATCTGGCAAGCCTGGGAAACAGTGTATGCCAGATTGAAGATTTTGCTGGGCTAGGGAGGGCATGGTGGGGTCTGGGTGTTAGGGAGATGGGGCTGAGGTGCTTTCATGGCACCCTGCTCCCAAAGGCAGATGATGTGCCACACCACACCACCACTGCTATGGGAGCAGTAGGGAAAAGCTGCAGGGAAAGTGTGTCAAAGCCACGTCCTCCTCCATACCAGGAGTGTTCCTTGGTTAGGGACACCTGCTGTGTGGAGGTAAAAGTGTATCAGCTCTTCCCTGCTTAGTTGGAGACTTATGCTAACAGATGTTACTGTTATAGCTATTATACCTGCTCTCTCTTGCACTCCCATGCACTCAGTTATGAGGCTTCCACCTACTCATTGCCCCCTTCTTTCCCTGAGTATGTGACCATTTCATGGTAACTTCCATCACAGTCTTCTGGCACCTACTTTCCCACTTATTTCTGGCAAGTTCCATTCAGTCCTTAGATCTGAAAGCCAGACTCATCGGAAGTAATGATATTTTCAGACAGACCTCCTGCAAATGATTGACAATTGGTTCATATGTTAGGCTCAATCATTGTAAATGTCTCAGCTAAAGAGATTTTGGAAGGAAAACA